AAGTAAACTGTATAAGGAAGTGTCCTTTGGTGCTGGTGGGCCATTATCACTTCTCATATACTTGTTAATCTCGCCTCTCAACAAAGAGAAAGCCAGCTCTGGGATTCAGCTGCTTGAATAAAATAATATTGACTTGGGTGGGGTTTGGTTGTTGTTGTTTTTGTTTGGGTGGTTTTTTTCACTTTTAAATATATTTTTTAGCCCTAACCGGTTTGGCTCAGTGGATAGAGCGTCGGCCTGCGGACTGAGGGGTCCCAGGTTCGATTCCAGTCAAGGGCATGTACCTCGGTTGCGGGCACATCCCCGGTGGGGGGTGTGCAGGATGCAGCTGATTGATGTTTCTCTCTCATTGGTGTTTCTGACTCTCTATCCCTCTCCCTTCCTCTCTGTTAAAAAATCAATAAAATATATAAAATAAATAAATAAATAAAAAATAAATATATTTTTTATTGCTGATAGTATTACAGATATCTCCCATCCCCCTCTCCCCTCTCCCTCCTCCCAGCCCCTACCCACCCCTCCAGGTGATTTGTTTTAATATTATGAGCTGTTTCAGTTACCCTCTATGTATGGCGAATAGAGCAGTCCTGTCGGTTTCTGTGGTGATCTACACATTTGCTTCCGTGGACCAGGCATCGCATGGCAGATTCCTGGGCCCCTCAGGGTCTCCAGCATCAGGACTTGGGTTTTACACGAACCCCCAGATGGTGCCAATGCACATTAGAATTTGAGAACAGATTTACAATTTCCATGTTATACACGTTTACTTACAAAGAAAAAGTGAAGCCCTGGCCAGGTAGCTCCGTTGGTTAGAGCGTCATCCCAATACGCCCAGGCTGTTGTGGGTTTGATCCCCAGTCAGGGCACATACAAGGATCGGCCAATGAATGCATATGTAAGTGGAACAACAAATCGATGTTTCTCTCTCTCTCTTTCTTTTTCTCTCTTCCCCCGCCCCTTCCTCTTTCTCGCTCTCAAATCCATAAATAAAAATTAAAAGAAAAAGTAAATTGGGGAAAAAAAGTGAATTGGTTAAAATAAAAACAGTTTAATTAGCATTCAGATGTATGAAAAACTATGCTGGTTGTCCAGGAATGTTTGGGAAACAGGTGGGTACAGCATCTTGCTAGTGGCACTAAGACATAGGGATTCAACCCTCCAGACACCAGTACATACCACTGAAGACAAGCCACTCATTGTCTGGGCTGAGAGGAGGGACAGATCATATGGGTTCTGTGGCTATAGCCTTGGCCAGCAGCTCTAGCCCAGACCCGCCCATCAGGGCTTTGAAACATGCCCTCCATGGAGCTTGGCCTCCACTCATGCCCGGCTCTCACCCATGGTGTCCTGGCAACCTTTCACACCTGCTCTCGGTGGGTGGGGGGGGGGGGGGCAATGTAAGCATATGTATTTACACGCCAATCAAATTCACAATATCACTTAAAGGTAGCAAAGACTTTTGGTTGATGTTTTATTTATCTAATTTTAGTAATAACATACATTTTAAGATAAAATACTTTGCTTTCCCATTTACACCTGTAACTTCAATGTGGCTTGCTATTTCTTGCAAAACCCGCCAACTGTTTTTATAGTTATATCATCTGCAGCAGTATCATAAAATCAGACTACAGAAAAATGTTTGATTATTAATATCCGATTATACAAAAAATCACTCACAACAATGATGAATGAGGATAGCTCTGATGCGAATTTTGGTTGATATTTTCATTAACCTTAATGAGTTCATTTGTCAATGATGAAATTTCTTTTCTTTTTAATATAGGAAGGAAGAAGGAGAGAGAGATAGAAACATCAATGATGAGAGAGAACCATTGATCAGCTGCCTCCTGTACACCCCCCACTGGGGATCAAGCCCGCAACCCAGGCATGTGCCCGACTGGGAATCAGACCGAAACCTCCTGTTTCATAGGTAGATGCTCAACCACTGATCCACACCAGCTGGGTAATAATGTAACTTCTTTATGAATCAGATAATAGTTTTCAAATATTGGAAAAATATTCTTGCTAATTTTTGTGCTATTCCCAATGCAACAGCTACCGACAGGACCCACTTTTAAGTTTAATCTGCACTATTAATATTTTATGCATCCCTTTTTAAAATCTAGACAGTCCATAAAATAGTAATTCAATCTCTAATTTGTGGAGTTTGCCAATTTCCATGGTGTCAATACTCTCACCCTTATTTCAAACTAATAACATGATGTGAATGAGTCAGGAAGAGTTGGGCAGGAACACACCATTGACTCCCACCACACAGGTACCATCAATGTAGATAAACCTCAGTTGCACAGGTAATGATAAAATGTAAATAATTAGCAAGTAATGTGTTTTGAGTATTTATTACCATTTTTAAAATACATTTTTTATTGATTTTGAGAGAGAGGGATAGAGAGATAGAAACATCGATGAGAGAGGAAGTCATCCATTGGCTGCCTCCTGCACAACCCCCACCAGGGATCGAGCCAACAACCGGGCATGTGCCTTGACTGGGTATCGAACTGGCGACCTCTTGGTTCCTGGGTTGATGCTCAACCACTGAGCCACACCAGCCAGGTACCATTTTTTTAATATAACTTATTTAATTGTGAGCTGATATGATTTAATTTTTAATAATGGCTGTGTTTAACAACTGGCTTACAAAATTCCTGAAAATTTAACCATCAGCTCTTGTACACTGTTAGGAACTGGCTCCAGCTCACACTGCCCAGGCCTCTCTGTGTAGCCGTGTTACCTGATTCCATTTGTCTGTCAGGACATCCCCTCTCCTGCCTCCCACCCTCCCACACAGCCCATCCGGCCAAGCCCAACCCCAAAGAGAAAAGGAAGAACAGAGCTACTGATCCCAGGAAGACAATGAGGATATTTTAGAGTGACCCACCTTCACTTTGGGGAAGGGGAAGACAACCCCAATTTCAGGGTCTTAAGTTGATGAATTGGTGGCAGCGGCAGCATTAAGCTCTGGTTAAGAGCACCGCTCTGGGGTCTACAGCTGTGCTTGAGTCCTGGCTCTGCCCCTCTTAGGCCATATGATCTGGAATAAAAAACTCAATCTCTCTGTGCCTCAGTTTCCTCATATAAAATGGGAACAATAATGACACTTGCTTCATAGGGTTGTAAAGATTAAATGAGATCACGGACTAAAAGTTGTTCACAGAGTTTTGGCACCAAGTAAGAGCTTCACACACGTTAGTTATCATTAGTAGTAGTCAAGTCGTCAAGTCGTAGTGGCTTGTACAAACTCTTGTATTAGCTAATACTACTTTTCACAGATAGAAAACATATGCAGCCCGGCCAGTGTAACTCAGTGAATTGAGCATCGTCCCATGAACCAGTTCAATTCCCATCAGGACACATGCCTGGTTTGGGGCTTGATCTCCACTAGGGGGCGTACAGGAAGCAGCCGATCTATGTTTCTCTCTAATAAATGTTTCTCTCTCTCCCTTCCTCTCTATTTAAAAAAAATCAATAAAAACATATGTAAAGAAAACATATACAGCCAATATTTGCATGCTTTTAAGGTTCTAAAGGCTTCTACATGCATAACCTGTTAGAAGCCTCAAGTGATTCAGGAGACAGTCATCATGTGATTATCATTCTCCACTCGTCACTGCATTCTATGGGCAGGGACTGGGACTCAGAGTGGCTGAATCATGGCCCAGGGACACACAGCCAAGGGCCAACCAGTCAGAGCTGGGCCCACGGCTTCAGTTCTCCTTTAGCAGATCCCAGGCCTTTAATGGGCATTTTCGTTGAGCTCCTTACAGCCCTTAAACAGCAAGAACTGGAAGGACTACTGAGATATGAGACTTTTGACTCGGGTTTCTTAGCCAGTCAACTAGATCGGACTATTTTTGCACAATTCTATAAATAAGTATTCATATGTAGTAAAAATGGTCAATCAAAAGAGCCAGTAACCTAGGAGACAAAACAGATTTTTCTCCTACGTCACGGGCTTGGTGACATGCCATCAGACTTGGCTTGAAGTTAGAGATGTGGGTGATCTCTCATTTTTTTCCATCTTCCCCGGCAAAGAGCAGAGTAACAATGACCTGCTCCCTGAACGTATGGGAGGAATCACAATATGTCCATCTCGCTCAGGGAGAAGGTTCAAAACCCAGACCGTCCCCCTTGATAGTCACAGGTGTGACCAGACATTTTTTTTTTTTTCAAGGAAACGTATCAGATCAAGTTGGCTAACGATTAATCTGCCTTGCCGTGCTGGGAGGGATTACAAACTCCCTGGAGGGCAATTTGGCAACATTTATCAAAATTGCAAAGCCTGCCCGTTTGACTCAGCAATTCCACAAGAGGAATTTACCCCCAGAGATATTCCCGTGTAATCAAGATGAGGGATGTAGGTTATTCTTTACACCATTGATTGTAACAGGCAAAGACTGGAAGCCACTTAAGTGTCCATGGATGGGGGACTTCTGAGTAAGGCAATACTTATGTGGCCGTTAAAAAGAATCCAATCTAACTGGGGGGCGAAGGGGGGCTAGAAGGGGTCAGTGGGGGGAAAACGGGGACATATGTAATGCTTTCAACAATAAAGATTTTTTTTTAAAAGAATGTAACTGACAGATATATGCTGATATGCTAGAATAATTTCTAAGATATAATAAGGACCAAAGCAAGGGGGAAGGTCGTACATATTTGAAGTAGTTCTGGAAGGAGGTATCCAACACTGGAAACAGGAGGGCTGGGTAATTAGCGCACAGGGAGAAAAGGACTCTATGTCCTTCCTACCGTATATTCTTTGGAAAATCTTTTGAATTGCATTCTATTTGCATGCGTCACGTGTTCAAACTGAATAAATGTCTGTATACGAGCTGGTGTGGGCGCCTATAGAAAAAGGAATTTTTAAATCCAGTGGCCGGTTCCTCGGAGCCTGAAGCAGCGGGGAGGGCGTTGGAAAGGGGGAGGGGGAGGACGGGTCAGGGGCTCACGGCTCCGGCTCACCCGAGACTCCCTGTCCGCAGCAGCCGGCGGAGGCCCGCGGGGCGCAGAGTCTGGAGGAGGAGGAGGAGGAGCGGCTGGCTGCTGCCCGCAGGGCGGAGCTGCACAGCACCGCGCGCCAAGTGCAGAGCCTGCAGGCGGAGACGGAGTCCTTGCGGGCCCTGGTGAGTGGGCCAGGAGCCACCTGGCATTTCTTGGGGCAATTTTAACTCTCAGCGGTTGAACTGTCGCCACACGGGTCACGGTGTGCCAGGGCCTCTCATCTCCCGGCGTAGGAGTCTGAGGCCTGGGAGGACGATCCGATACCGGATCACAAGGGTAGTGGATCCGGCGAGTGCCCGGCCGCGATATGCCTCACTCGCCGCTGCTGTGGCCACTCATGCCCACAGATGCCCCTTCCCAGCGGCCCCTCTTCTGCTGAGAATGGCCCTCAGCCAATCAGAAGACACCTGCGGGGGGCGGGGGCGGGTAGGCGGTGGAAGGTGGGAAGTGTGGGGGGGGGTTGTCAGGCCAGCCCACCTTCCCAGCCAATGACCGACTCACGGGGGCTTTAAAAGCCCAGCTCACTTGCTTCAAAGTGGAACCAGGCCTCTGGGGTAATTCACTGGTGATGGGGGGGGGGGTGTTCTGTGGGGTCAGACTGCAGCCGGACTCCGGCTGAGACCACCTCCTGGCTTAGCACCTCCCCTGCCCAGCCCTGCCCTGCTTCCCTTGCACCCCCTTTCCTGGGAACAGCTCCTTAATTATCCCCATGCACCAGGACCCCTGTCTCAGGCTCTGCTTCTGGGGCACCGATCCTAGGACACCTGGTAAGCTCCTCAGACTCACGGTGGTTTGTGGGCAGATCTCTCACATCATTAATTATTATTATTAATTTAAATGATTAATAATACAGCAGTCCACCTCTGCTCTCTGGGGTGCCCTAAAGTTCTAAGGTTGTCAAGCACAGCTCCTCCTGGATGCCCTCCAGGGGCCCCGCGTACCAGGTCAACCGCAGTGAGTTGTACACACCAGAGCGCACGAAGGGGTTGGTTCCTGTGAAGCTGGCGTAGCTGAGGTGGTCTAGCCCACTGAGGCCCAAGAAGCCCTCTCCCCCATCAGCCTCAAATCCTCGGGCTGATCAGATACCACCGTTAATGCCCCTTTCTCCCACCACGCCCCATAAACCTGCATCTCAATTTTGCCACCCAAATCGGCTCCATCTTCAAGCCACCAGTCACACCTGCCATGAAGTTCGCTCAGGCATTTATCCTAGTCGTTTCCCTCAGGCACAGCTTTATCTCTGCCTGTTGCCAAGAGCATCCCATCACCTCCGGTTCCTTCAGTTCACTTGGGCCCATTGTCCTCCGGCCACAAGGTCACACGGCGCCCAGCCAGCTCAGGAAGGTGCTGCCACAGCATGGCAGGCATCTCATTGCTCCACTTCTCTTTTATTGATTGACTGACTTACAGAGAGAGAGAGAGGAAGGCAGAGAGAGAGAGATCTGTTGTTCCACTTATTAATGCAGTCATTGGTGCTTCTTGTATGTGCCCTGACCAGGGATCCAACCTGCAACCTTGGCTCTAACCCACTGAGCTACCCGGCCGGTGCCATCATTACTCCTCTTCTGTCCCTCTCGTTCTCTGATGGGATCTGGGTCAGGGCAAGGGGGTGTGAGTAAAGGATCTGAGGTGAGAGAAATCAGGAAACTACAGTTTAAAGCAACGCTACTTTCACATTCAAACAAAAAAACATCTAAAAGCCATGGCATTGTTTGCTCAGAGGCAGGTGAATGTTATGCTAATCAGCTTTATTCGCCTGCCTAACCCTTGATAAATGCCCTAATATTAGGGGTGCTGCCTCTCACCTCTGTTGCTTTAGGCACAGTGAAGGGACTGCCATTCCTTGCCCAGATGTCCTTGTGGCTGCCAAAAGTGTCACTCTTCTGGCGACAGAAAGTTCCAGGCAAAAGGTTGAGGACATAGTCTCAAGTCAACATCATAAAAAAAAAAAAAAAAGCCCAGATGAATGACTCCTCAGTGGCAGGTGGCCCATCGCTCAGCACACGTTCCACACACGTATACTGGGTGCCTGCGATGTGCAAGGCCTTCCCTTGGCCCCTGGGGAGGCAAATCTGAATTGGATAGTGCCTGTCCTCTAAAAGCTCACAACTTGATTGAAAACCTGTGCACAAATGACTGAACAAAGCAGAGGGGACCTGTGTTCCCCAGCAGCTGCTCCCTCCAGCCTCTGTTCTCAGCAAGCCCCTGGCACCCCGCCCCTCCGCCCCTCAGCAGGTGCTGTCACCTGTATTATTCTGCAGATAAAGTTAAGGTCCCCCAACATGAGGTCTCTGGTTTCCATTTCCCACTTCAAAAGATCTCAGAAGCTTTATCCCCGCCTCTTTCCTTCACAGACTCCCCCTGTCTCGTGCTGCACCATCTGGACGTGCCTCTACCTACTGCCTCCTCTATTCTGCATTTTCAGGGTCCAAACCCCTGGAATGGCCTGAGCTTGGCTTACAACAGAAAGCCCTCCTTTGCCAGATCTTCATGTTAATGTCCAGATTTCGTCCTTTCCTTTCCTGCCTTGAGCCCTTAATGTGTTCTTCCCGTGGCTGGAAGGAGACTCCTCCCCTCAAGTCTGCCCGCCTCCACCTGCTCCCCTTGCCAAACCCTTGGCACAGATGAGGTGAAAACACAGAAATGCGACACCCCCCGAGGAGCCTAGCTCCTGACTCCCACAGCTGGGTGATCCCCCCACCCGCCACGCACTCACATTCAGAGTGGTCCGTGAGCTGAAATCAGCTCTTCCACCAAAGTCACATTAACTCCTTGAAGGCAGGACCCAGGCTTCATTACTTTTATGTCCCCAGATTGCTTGGTACAGTGCCCAAATTTCCTCAAAGTGACACTGATAGTAAGAAATGCTCATATGCACTCTCTCATCGCATCCTCGGAGAAACATTGAGAAGTGGGCAGGACCGTGACTGCCATCTCATTCTGCAAATGAGAAATCTGTGGCTCAGGGATTTTCCCGTTAGCATAGTAATCAGTGCAGGAGCCAAGCCCTTCTGGCTCTATCTCTGCCCTCGACCGCAGCCAGCCTATGGCGTTGGGGGTTGGCGCTCAGGCTCTGCAATCAAATCCTGCTTCCTCTATTCACGAGCCAAGTGACGCTCTAAAATTCCACTTCCTCTCTTTCACTTGAGGACCTACCTTGGTCGTCCTATTTATCTGCTGTGTTACTGGCCCTCAGTCAGAGCCACCTGTGCACACACAAGGCCCCCACAGCCAAGCTGATGAGACGTTCAGCTGCCTTTTCCAACAAAATACCGTATATGAGCAGCCAGGCACCAATAATGGTGCTTGAGGCCTACAGAGCTCTTTGTTCAGTCAGATCAAGAATTCAAGACCAGGACTCACAGATCACTATTTTACTTTCTGGAGTGTCTATAATTTAAGGGCATCCCTTCCAATTTCCATTAGTTTGGGAGTAAGCATGCTGCTGTGACCAAGTATGCTCGCTGGTGCTATCCATGTCCCCTTGCAGGCCAGGGCTGGGACACCCGCAGCAGTGGCCTTATCATAGTCACTCAGCTCAGGCGTCTCTGTGGGAACCAGGCCAGGATGTCAGGACTTAGCGGGGAGAGCTGGGGCTTGGGCAGTGGGTCCTGAGTCATCAAAGGACCCTCGGCCTCATGGAGGAGTCACCTGTGAACATGGAGCCAAACCTGTAAACAGATGACCCAGCCATGGCTCTGTAAAATATTTTTCCAAATCACAGGTGTTACAGGTCCAATGTCAACAATCACTATTCACAAACCAGGCTGGGCCAGTCATGGGTGCCATGTTAGGGACCCTGGAGAGCTTGGGGATGCGGTTAAAGCAGAGGGGATACCGGTCCAGAGTTGGACTTTAGACAGAACACCGGAGCTTCTGTGTGGGGAAGGCAGCCCAAGGAGGAACTAGAGGCAGAAAGACGAGCTAAGAGGCCACTGAGGTCCCCCTTGAGGAGAGGTGATGGGCATCCATCCTGGGCACTGGTGGCTGGAGAAGAGAGGGCACACATGTGAAAACCTTTCGGAATATATGAGGGGCGGGATTCGGTAATGACTGAGTTTGGGAGAGAAGCAAGAAGACCAGGGGTGTGTCCTTCCCCAGTTTCTAGTTCTCAGTTCACCTGCTGAAGTGCAGGATTGGAAAGACCAACAGGTCCGTTTTGCACGCCTTGATTTGAGGTGCGCTGGACTGCATATATTTCCAGTAGGAAGTTCAGTAGTGGGTCGGGGCTTGGAGAGAGGAGAGAAGTCTGTGCTAATAGAATCACTGCAGGAGCCATTGGAAGAGAGACTGGGAAAATAGTGAGTGTGGGAGAGACCAACTAACAGGCCCGGGAAACACAGCTCAGAGAGTAGCAGGTTCAGGATGGGCGGTGGGGAACCAGAGGAAGAGGAATTAGCCCAAATGGGCACCTAGAAAACTAAAGAAACAACTGCTGAGTACAGAACAGCCAGAAACGTCCATCGTCATTCTGATCATCTGGGGAAGGGTGCAGAGGAGACAGCATTTTAGCTGAATGATGGGTGGGGTTTCGGCAGTGGAGGGGATAGGGCCCCCCAGGGGGTGAGAAAACTATCAAAAAAGGCCCAGAGGCAGCTCAGATAGCAGGGTTTCTTTGAAGAAACACCTGCAGACTGCTTCTCTGTGTGTGTCAGTTTCTCTTTCATTTTTTTCCTCTCTCATTTTCTCACTCATCTCTCATTCTTATATCTTATCTCTCTCCCTCTCCCTGTCCGTCCGCCTTCTCTTCCTCCCCTCCATCCCACACACCCACCCATGTCTCCCACACACACATCCACCCCCCTGACCCCCATCAGAAGGATCAGTGAATTAGACTAAACAAGAGTCTGGCCTCCTGAGGATTCATGATTTACGAACCAAGCCACGTAAACCTAGCAACCGACGAGACCAATGCCAGCCCCTCCCAGTGCCCTGCACACCTCCCTCTCCAAGGGCCCTGCCCGTTGGCCTTGAGTTTGGACGTGTTCCCTCTTTTGCAGAAACGAGGCCTGGAGAACACTTTGCAGGACGCCAAGCACTGGCATGACCTGGAGCTGCAGAACCTGGGCGCCGTGGTCCGCAGGCTGGAGGCGGAGCTCCAGGAGATGCGTGCGGAGGCGGAGCAGCAGCAGCAGACCCGCGAGCAGCTGCTGGCGCACAGGTGCCAGCTGCAGAGGGACGTGGCTTCCTACCACGTCCTGCTGGACAGGGAGGAGAGCCGGTAGGTCTCTTCTTACTTCATTATAAAAGGAGCACAACTCATCGTTTAAAATATTTATTTTCAAACACTAAAGAAGTAATTAAGATAGAAGAAATCACCCCCAAACTCCCCAAAACACACACACACACACTCCCATAGCCTCACTCTGTCCTTCCACAAATATATAAAACAAATATACATTATAAATGTGCATGTATACATAAATGTGTTACACCTGTTTATAACCATATAAACAGATACACACATACACACATAGACATGCCTATAAATGTTAAAACATACCTAGTGCAGCAGGTTCTCCAATAAGGTCATTTAGTGCAACATCATTTCATTATAACATTGATGACATGCCATAGGAATTTAACGCTTGTTTATATAAATTATTCTGTAGTAAAACTGGCTTCCTTATACATCATTTCATCATAGTTCCCAGAACCTACTGACAATATTACGTGAGGACTTACTGTGCATACATCTTATCTGTTAGGAATGCTTTCAGCTGCATGTAATAGAGCCTAATTAATGGGGCTATACACCAGTGCACCTGAAGTTGAATGTGCACCCAAAACCTGGGCAGGTCAGGCCTATCCTGCCGGCCCACAGACCACCGTGGGAACAGCAAGGACATAAACCACGTTTATCTGAGAGTTCCAGAAATGAGGTGGTCTAGGCTTCTCAATGATTTCATTAGGTCCCAATGAAATACCATCTGACATACCATCCCCGGTATATTGGCTTTTTGTCTTCATCTTTGTCCCACATGGGGCCACATGCCTACCACAGCTCCCGACATCAGGTCCTCACCCATGACAAGAAGAAGGAGGAAGGAAGAGAGGGCAGCAAGAAAGGCCTTTCCCTGGGTAACCTCTTTATCAGTCAGTGAAAGAAAAATGTTTTGAGAAGTCCTCTAATGGACTTTGCCTGTTATCTCATTGACCAGATGTGCTCACATGACCATACCTACCTGCAAGTGGTTCTGGGAAAGCAATTTTTTCCAGCCTCTACACTGGAGAGAGGCAAGGGTAGGAATGACATATAGCATATATCTAAGTATGTATATGAATGTGTGCATGTGTGCGTATGCAGTCTTATTTAACGGGTGAGAATTACAGGAGCCTATGCATGAGTTTGGGGGCTAGTTCCTTGCCAGCTCTTTAAGGAAATCCAAGCCTTTGTTTGATCATATTTCTATATCTTCATATCTTCCTCCAAGGCCCCATCCATGGCATACATTGAATAAGGAATAGAATATCAGTTCTAAGAGATAACTTAGCAATTATATAGTCCAACCCCCATGATCCCAGCAAAACTACAAAGGCCCAGAACAGAAAAGCAGTTTTCTGTGATCACACGAGGAGGTAGAGCCAGAGCCGGGACTCTGTAACATCCCTTTCTTCAGAAACAAGACAGCCACAGGGAAGCAACCAGCCCTTCCTCCTTTCAAGTGGAAAACGTGCCATCCAGCTCCTTCCCAACTGTCTTGTTATTGGATTCATTTCTGTGGACTATAAAAGCTGGATGTTTCTAACCAAGCTCATTTTTTTCATATGCCTATGAACATCTGAATAAATGCACAAATTTGTTTTAAATATAAAAAAGTGGTGAATTAAGCTGAATATTCTTCAAGAATGTAAGAATACCATTTAGTGAGTGCCTGCTGTGTGCCAGCACAATGTTAGGTTCTCTGTTCTCTTCATTTCCCCTGAAGCCCTGCTGGGACTACATCATTATCTCCATTTCACAGATAAGAAACAAAGCCTCAGAGAGCTTCAGCCATTTGCTCAAGGTAACTCAGCTAATACCTATGGAGCAGGGATTTGAAACCCAAGTTGGCCCTGGCCAGGTAGCTCAGTTGCTTACAGCATCTTCCTGATTCAATTTCTGGTCAAGGCACATGCAAGAAGCAACCAATCCTATATAATAAAAGCCTAATAGGCTAAGTGTCCAGTCGGCCAGTCGGCCGTTCAACCAATCAAAGCATAATATGCTAATATGTTAAGGCTGCTCAACCACTCACTATGACATGTACTGACCACCAGGGCGCAGACGCTCCAACCGGTAGGTTAGCTTGTTGCTGGGGTCGCAGCCGATCAGGACTGAGACAGGCTGGACACGCCCTGGAGCCCTCCTGTGGCCCCTCCCTGGCTGGCCAACCTCCCATGTCCCTCCCTGGCCCCAATTATGCACCTTTGGGATCCTTCGGCCTGGCCTGCTCCCTCTCACAATCTGGGACCCCTCAGGGGATGTCAGAGAACCAGTTTTGGCCCGATGGCAGAACGACCAGTCGCTATGACGTGCACTGACCACCAGGGTGCAGATGCTCAATGCAGAAGCTGCCCCCTGGTGGTCAGTGCATTCCCATAGGGGGAGCACCGCTCAGCCAGAAGCCAGGCTCACAGCTAGTGAGCGTAGTGGCAGTGGCAGGAGCCTCTCCCACCTCCGCAGCCGCGCTGGGGATGTCCGACTGATGGCTTAGGCCTGTGGGGGGCAGGCCTAAGCCATCAGTCAGACATCCCCCGAAGGCTCACAGACTACAAGAGAGCTCAGGCTGGGCTGAGGCCCCCACCCCCACCCCCGAGTGCACGAATTTCATGCACCGGGCCTCTAGTCTATATATATAAAAGGCTAATGTGCCAAGTGTCCCCTCAGGAGTTTGACTGGGAGACTGGGAGTTCAATTGCTAGCTATGATGTGCGCTGGCCACCAGGGGGCGGCGTGGAACTAAGGGAGGCCCCAACTTACAGTCAGAAGGAAGGCCCCGGCCAGCAGCTGGAAGGCCCATATCAGCCCTGATCGCCAGCCAAGCCTAGGGACCCTACCGGTGCATAAATTCCATGCACCGGGCCTCTAGTGAATGTATAAATAAGTGGAACAACAAATCGATGTTTCTCTCTCTCTCTCTCTCTCTTCCTCTCTTTCAAATCTATAAAAAAGAAAAAGAAACCCAAGTTGTCTTATTCCAAAGGCCAACTTCTTTCCATGAGATTCCTACCTTTCCTATAATCTTATTGTGATCTCTTTACCAATTTTCAATCATCCATAGCTTCTCTCACTCAGATGTGTTTTTGTTGATTTGTTTCAGCTAGTGGAGAAACTTCTTTTCATGAAGAAAATGCTGCCTTCTCACCAAGTGGTCAATGAAGTTCCTTGAGGAGTCTTCCCCCTCTGCTCCCACATCTACCCCAAACAGCCTCCCATCCCCCACCCTCCTGGAGCTGGATTCCCTGCTAGATTCCCTTGAGCTGAAAAGCTTCCTAGAAGTGGAGAGGGTCCTTTGGCCTTAAACTGAAGTAGTCTGTGGCTTGGGCAACCTCCCTGTCCCTCTGCAAATAAATGCTTTTTGTGTGCAGCTTCCAGTCTGACCACCTGTTCAACTCACTACCGGGTAGAGATGGACGTCACCTTACCTGCCTGGCCTTTGCTTGTGGAGCCATTCTTGAAGGCTCTGGAAAGTTCCCTGAGCATGATGCCATCTGCCTCTCCACCTAAGGATCAGCTGCTTAGGCAAGCACCGTGCTCAAGGCTTGGTGCAAGTTCACCACGGTTTGGGGCAAAAACAGCACTCTTGTTAGAGGGGAGTGGCGTGGCGCTGTAGTGCATGCGCCATCATTACAGGCGTCGTGAAGCATCAGACCGCTTTAATGTGCTCAGCACGGGTGTGTGTGTGCAGACACACACATTTCACTGCTGTTGACGGAGGGCCTCTCAATCAGTTTAAAGGGAACTTCACTGTAAGTCTGTGGGGGTTAATTAGACTGTGGTTGCTTGCTTCACTTCTAGTCTCAGAATTTGCTTCCACAGTGGGAGCCGAGCCAGCCAAATATAGTTCCTGAATCTGCCACCTACCCAGGCAAGGCTCCCTGCCTTCTGATTAAAATTGAAACCAGCACCTGTGTCCACACACCAGCTCTCAGTGCCTCCCAACACCCCCTCCCCCTCGCTCCTCCCCCGGCCACACACATACACACAGCCCAACCTCAATTTCTTAATTCTTCCCTCATGCTTGTGTCAGTCCACCTGTCACACAGAATCCCAGACACAGAATCCAAGCTGAGTCTTTGTCCTCATCAAGTGCTGACCCAGACAGGGGGCCGTGTCCACTGTGGGCCCATTTGAGGACACCCTCCCCCCAGTACCTGCACTTCCAAACCCTCAAGGCCAACACAAACAAGAGAAACCTTGTTTCCTCTGCAGGAAGCCTGAAAGAGAAGCAAAGTAAGAAAGGGGGTCTCCTGGTTGAAATGGCTTCAGCCGGGTTTTCTGTTTGCCTTCCAGGGCAGCCAAAGGGATCATATTAATGAGTCACTTGGGCCGGACAGCTACTGAGTTTGCATGAGACCTCCACATAATTCTGTTTGTGGTTTGAGGCACAGAAATAGGCAAGACCCCACCTAATGCTACATTTCAGCAAAGCACCAATCCCTCCCGGGCTGCACACTGCGGGGAACGGCATGGGAGAGGGGGCCTGTAATTAACCACTGGGTGCAAGGGCCTCCCCACGAGACACAGTGTGCAGCCAGCCTAGGTCTGTTGTATGCTCCCAACACTAAGCTGTTTCTTTTCTTTCTTGTTAGGATTAATTTTTTGCCCCCCAGCCAAAGCTGAAATCCCTGACTTAAACACAGTTGGAGGGCCCCGAAAGGTCAGCCATTCAGAGGCACGTCTGTGTCTGAATGGCCACGCGTTTCCCAGAGCCTGGAAGCTGTTTGAGCCGCTGCAAGAAGGGGAGAGTGGACTTGCACCCCTCCTGGGCCGGCCGCACACCGGCCTCCTCTGCTCTGTCATCTCAAGAAGCAGCCGCCGTAAATCATTACATTCATCAGCCTTTGGCAGCGAGAGCCGAGGCTGGCAGGTGCGTCCAGTTCTCAGCACAGGTTCTCGCTGTTTCTAATGAGGCTTCATTACCAGGTAAGAAAAGGCTCTGCTGGCCCTCCTGACTCCGCCTCCGCCAGGGCCTTGTCTAACTCGGGCTTCCCTGCAAAACACGCGGTGCAATTACTCTCTGGCGGGGCCCAGCGACAGGTGGCTGGACGCTGCGGCTGTGGGGCGGCAAGGACGGCGCGTTTGCTCTGGAGCCAGCCGACCGACGGGAGAAGGCTGCGGTGGACTCCTCCGAAAGCAGGTAACGCCCCTGGCCTCCCGCCCCGCTCCCAGGGAGATTGCCAGAACATTCCTGGGCTTTCAGACCAAGGCGCTCAGTCTCACCTGCATTATCATCTGTAACACTCCTGCGCACCTACGGGTGCCCAGACATTCTGCTTGCGTGTCTCCCTTTTATACCGCAATCCCCACGCCCAGCAGAATGTCTGGGCGTGGGGATTGCGGTATAAAAGGGAGACACGCAAGCAGGTCAAACTCGCGGCCGGCGGGCCTTATGCCTGTCAGACTCGCCTGGGAGTCCAGGTGTGCATATACAAGCAGGCACAGAGCAAAGCAGGCCGAGCAGCACGCTGCAGTGTGCACGACCCCATCCGTGCATCACAGGCGGCACGAAACAGACATCCCGTCAGATCTTTGTTGATGTTGAGTAAGGCGATTCAGCAAGAATCATCAAGCACCGTGCTGGCCTCGGATTGTCTCTATACCCTGCAGAGAATCTACATTTTTCCAGGTTTATTGAGATAGAATTGACATTCGGCACTGTATAAGTTTAAGGTACATTGTGAAATGATCACACAGTAAGTTAGCATTCATCATCTCATATAGATAAAAAAAAAATTTTTTTTGCCTTGTGATGAAAACTTTTTTTTTCTTTTTGGTGTGATGAGAACTGTTAGGATTTACTCTGTTAATAGCTTTCCTATGTACCATACAGCAGTGTTAACTGTAGTCATCACATGTACATTACATGCCCAGTACATATGCATCTTCTCACTGGAACTTTGTACCTTTTGACCACCTTCCCCCAACTCCTCCTCTCCTCCTCCACACCCAGCCCTGCTTCTGGTAACCACAAATCTGGCCTTTTTTCCCCCATGAGTTTGAGTTTTGTTTTTAAAATTCCACTGTCTGACTTATTTTATTTAACATAATACCCTCAAAGTCCACCTATGCACCCAACTTGTTTCAAATGACAGGATTTCCTCCTTTTATGGTTGAATAAACATCCAGTGTGTGTGTGTATACATATACAAATATACATAAAATAACACAACTTCTTTATCCATTCATCTGTTGATGCAACACTTAGATTGTTAACATGTCTTGGTCATTGTAAATAATACTGCTATGGACATGAGGGTACAGATATCTCTTTCACATAATGTTTTTATTTCCTTGGGATATGTTCCCAGACGTGGAATTGCTGGAGAATGTGGTAGTTATAGTTTTGATTTTTTGAGGAAATTCATACTGTTTGCCATAGTGGCTATACCAGTGTACAATCCCCCCCCCCACACACACACACACACGCGCAGTGCATAAGAGTTCTCTTTTCTGCATGTCATTGCCATCACTTATCTCTTATCTTTTTGATGATAGCAATTCTAACTGATGTGAGGTGATGGCTCAATGTGGTTTCATTTAGATTCCTTTGATAAATGAGTGATATTGAGCACCTTTTTATGTACCTTTTGGTCATTTGGATATCTTCTTTGGAAAAATGCACCCATTTTTTAATCGGATTGCAGTTTAACCTCAATTCAGGTTAGGGGTGCTGACCATCCCTTGCTGTGCAATCAAAAGTCCACATATAAGTTTTGACTCCCCCAAAACTCAACTAGTTGGCCCTCAGTATCGGCAGGGATTGGTTCTGGGACTCTCGTCGGATACTAAAATTTGTGGATGCTCAAGTGCCTTATATAAAATGGTGTAGCGCCCTAGCTGGTTTGGCTCGGGGATAGAGCATCGGCCTGTGGGCTAAAGGGTCCCCGGTTCGATTCTGGCCAGGGCATATGCCTGGGTTGTGGGCTCAATTCCCAGTGTGGGGCATGCAGGAGGCAGCCGATCAATGATTCTCTCTCATCATTGATATTTCTATCTCTCTCTCTCTCTCTCTCCCTTGCTCTCTGAAATCAATAAAAATATTTTTTTAAAAAGAAAAGATCATGAAACTGTTAGGAAGTTGGAATATCATGCATTCCTTTTAAATGCATGTTTCAGTTTTATATAGTATCAATTGTGTCTATACTAGAAAACAATTATTAGCACAGTTATACTTTTTCCCTTTTTCTCTCCCTCTAAATATTTTGATCCTATCATTTTTACTGTATCAAGGTTTTTTTTCACTTTCTTTTCTGCAACCCATAATTCATGTTGTTGTTCAGCCTTAGTCTATATGTAGTTAAACGAACTTCGATTTAAATGGATACTTTTACCCCAGCAATATCATTCCTGGATTCTTATTTTGAATTCATCTCTTATTTAAATACATTTGCCTTTAAGGAGTTTTCCAAGAGTTGATGGCTGATAGGTACTTTACCTCCTGACTTCTTTCATGTTTGAGGTGACTGTTTCTGTTTTATTTTATGAAGAACTTGACTGGGCACAAAGTTCCTGGGTCATACATTGCTTCCCTCAGAACTTGGCAGATATTGCTTCATAGTTTCTTGGATAGACTATTGTGAAAAAGTCCAAGGCCGATCTAACTCTTTACCCCCTCTCTTCTTCCTGGAGACCTGAATGCTTTTCTTCCTGCTTCAGGTTCTTAAAGAAATCAGAATATTGATTGCTCTCATTCCTAATCAGCTTTTCCAATTATGTGATATGTTGTCTCTGCCTGAAAAGTCTATTATTCTTTGATTTCAGGACAACTTTTTTGTATCAAGTCTCTAAGTAGTTTTTCTGTTCCATTTGTTCATGTCTTTATTTCAAAGCCATCAAAGGATCATCTTTGCTCTCTTCTATGTCTTTCGTCTTCTCTCTAGTTTTTAAAATCTTTTTCTCTCTTGTCTCTGCATTTATTGTGATTATCTCAGGCCTTTCCACCAAAATTTGACTTCCAGCCATGTCTACTCATAACTACAGAATGGGGCGAAAGTAAGTTTATAGTTGTGAGTACATAAAACTAGTTTATTCTTGTATATTATTTCTTTATTATTGTATTCTTTTCTTTCTTTCTTTTTTTTTTTTTTTTTTTTAGAGAGAGAGAGAGTGGAAGAGAGAGGGGAAGACAGGGAAATATTGATGTGAGAGAGAGACATCAATTGGTTGCCTCCAATCAGAGCCCGGGCCAGGGCAGAGTCTGCAACCAAGGTACATGCCTTGGACCAGAATTGAACCCGGGACCCTTCAGTCCACAGGCTGATGCTTTATCCACGGAGCCAAACTGGCTAGGGCAGTGGTCGGCAAACCGCGGCTCGTGAGCCACATGCGGCTCTTTGGCCCCTTGAGTGTGGCTCTTCCACAAAATACCACGTGCAGGCGCGCACATACAGTGCGATTGAAACTTCGTGGCCCATGCGAAGAAGTCGGTTTTCGGCCTGGACGACTCTATTTTGAAGAAGTGGCGTTAGAAGAAGTGGAGGGGTGGACATATAGAGAGGATGAATG